CAAATCAACCCAAAAAGTATTCAAATTTATGGGTCAGTAGTAAAGGCTTGGTAAATGACCTGAAATACATTAAGCCACTCCAGCATTGACCATGATCATAGTCTCTATAGCTCAGTAGTCACAGTGTTTCCCTTTATTAATTATTTACACAAGACTCATAGCCTCCATTTTAATGTCTGTTGTGCTAAATATCTTTTAAAATTAAATTCTATTTTCCTTTGGTGATGAAGAAAAAAAAGCACTTAGGTCTACCAAATGTCGTAATTAATTCTTATGTCAAACAATCAACATTTGGCAGATTCTTTGAAGACAGCAGGGCAGAAATAATTCACAAAGCAAGACAATTGCATGGAGTCAGTATGAAGCATTGACTTGTGACAGATATTCAGAAATTAAGTCAAATCCTTGCTTATAATTTCCCTATGGATGTGATGCTTGTGTGTACTGGAGAGAAGAATAAAGATTAAGAAAATCAGAGAACAGTGAGGAAAAAGTAAGAGGAGTAGAGTCCTCACAAACAAGAGGATTCTATGATCTTTATTACACAAATCATATTATTATTATTAAATAATAATAATAACAACAATAATAACAAAGATGATGATGATGAAAACTCAAAAATATATTAAATCCTCATACCTGGTTAATTAAAGCAAGATAACACTGCAAATGTATGGATGACAAGTCTAAGAATATTAACAAGTAGATTTAAAAAAGTGTTTAGAATCAATTTATAACAATAATTATGAATATTTTGGGCAGGTAGGGACCATTTTTATAGAAAATGAAGATGGAGCTTGGGCTGCATAGGGCAGACTACTGCCATCAGATGAAGGGAGGTGATCCTGCCCCTCTGCTCAGCGCTGCTGAGGCCTCACCTGCTGCCCTGGGTCCAGGTATTGGATGGAGGAGGTAATGAGGATGGAGCCAGGCTCTTCTCAGTGGTGCCCAGCGCCAGGACCAGCGGCAATGGTACAAACTGGAACACAGGAGGTTCCCTCTGAACACCAGAAAACACTTTTTCAGTGTGAGGGCTATCAAGCTAAGGCATGGGTTGCTCAGGGAGATTGAGGAGTCTCTCTCCTTGGAGATATTCAAAAGTTGTTTGGACACAGTTCTGGGAAGGCTGCCCTAGGTGCACGCAGCTAAGTGTGAGGGGGGTTGGATCAGATGACCTCCAGAGGTCCCTTCCCACCTCAACCCTCCTGTGTGATTTTGTAATACAGAGATTGCAATTTTTCTACTAGCAGTAGACATGTTACTGAGCATTCAGACACTGTTGGAAGCTACTTTAGAAGTCTGTTGCCTCTTAGAGAGAGAATACATTTATAAATTCATGAGTTGAAAGAAGCACTGGGAAGGAGTCTTTTTGGAACATAATACACTTCAGCAGATGGTGACTCTGCTCACAGTGACCACAGTATCCAGTTCCAAATTTGGCTACTAGGAGTGCTTTTTCTTATATTTCTGATATTACAACTTCATTATATTCTGTAGAAAGTAATGTATTTTTCTATTTTAACTTATGTTTTGTGCTTGGCAGTGTATGTGATAAGCTATACATGACTGATAATTTTACCTCAGGCAGATATGCTCACTGCTTTTTACTTCACTATGAAAAAATTCAATATTGTTAATCTCCCTATATCACATCTTGGTCTGAACTTATACATGACTTGCAAGAGAGGGTTGGGTATTTGTTTTTTTTTTGTGGCTGTTCCTCCTCTGTAGATCCAACAGGCAGCCTGAGGGTTACAATAATTGACACTTATGAGAGGCAACAGATGGACCTTCACAAAGTAAACCAGAAGTTTCCTTCAAAATATCCTGAATAGGTATCAACATGCCAAAGAGATTGCATGTTTTGCATGTTTTTAGGCTTAGGGTTTTCACTTTCTTTGCTTCCCCTCTTCTTTCAGTGGTCTAGATTTTAGGTTGTCCTTCTATACCTTGATGAGAATGGGAGGAAAGGAAACTTCACCTCATGTAATGCAGCATTGAAAGAAAGTAATGTCTCCTGGCCCAGAAGCATCTAGATGTGTCAGCCTGTTGCCCTACCAAAATCTATTAATTTTGCTTCTTCAGCTCTGATGAAGTTCTGTGGCTGCTAATTCCAGAGTTAGCACTGTGAACCCTGGCTTGAGGCTTTGTGCTGCACTGTGTTAAGGTCATATTAGGCTCTGGGTCTAATATAAATCTCTCTGCAATAACTTGGAGAACTTTTTAATGTTCAGGCTATGGAATCCAGTGTGTACCTGTCACTTAATACTCTCAGTGTGCATTATATTTTTCTAATAACAACAAAAAATGTATGAAGTGTCTTTCTCAAAGATGCTAAGCTGTCACCATTTAGACTGTATTATTAATTTGTTACCTGAAAACTGAGGTTTCTGTAATGGTGATCTGCCTTGCATTTTAAAGGCGTTCTGCAGAATCATTTATTCATCAAAATAATATATATATTATACCCTCCATCAAATAAGTATAGATTTTAAACAAAATTGAACTATAATTATTCTTTACTATTAATTCACATTCTCTCTTACTTCTCTTGATTCTCCCCTAATTTAAAGAAATGTTTAACATCTTCAACTATCAATCACTCAAATAGGCAGCTAGAATCAGATGGGATACAAAGTTACTGTTTCATCAATAAAAATATATATTTAGAAACAACTATAAAGCAGATATAAAAATAGCTTTACTTTTACTGTGTTAAAATTAAATATATGGCTGTTAAGCCTGTTTCCTGAAGCAGGATTTAATGTAGCTGCAGCTGCAGCATTCTCTGCATATAAAACTCTTTATACCAAAAAAAAAAAAAGAGTCACCTTTCAAAAATGCTGCTAGTGAGTTATATATCTCGACAGGTATCCAATACTTCCCCCTCAGACGTGTTCTTTCAGAGGCTCTAACTCCCTATCAAATGGAAGTGTTTGCATTCCCAGTCATTTGGACAAAGCTTAGCATGATAAAATGATTTGTTATGCCAATAAAGTTTTTTTTTCACTTTAAAATGGTTTGTTACACTACTATTGCTACATAAAAATGTTATGAAAATTAAGTAGGTAGTAAGCTCCAAAAAGGAATAGTCTGCTTTTGGGACTAGCTACCAGGAAAAGGTAAAAAGAATGATCTCATGATCTACATACAGTTCCCCAGTCCTTTGAAAAGACAACCTAAATGACCTTTTAACAACTGAAATTGGTACTCCAATTAGGAAAGCAGTTACGCATCCAAAAGAGATGGGAACTTCTTCAAGTTGTTAGTATTCAGAAAATTGAAGGAAATGCAAATTATTTGATAATCCAGGTGGTGACTTCTGTGTTGTGGCACAGTACATGAAACAAGCCTAAATTATAATTCATAATGGAAACTGAAGTACAGATTCATGGTATGTTGATCATAACATGTCATGGACAGCATCGTAAGATAGTAAAACTGGAGGAAAACCTTACTTTTTCTACAGTAGTTTAATTTTAGCATTGTTTATATTAATCAAAGCACTGTTTGAAATGGGAAACTATTTAATTCGCAGTCATACCTTATAAATTCCTGGTACATTTTAAATTTTCAATTTAATTAAAATTTTGAATTCTTATTTAATCCAGCACAGCAGTCAGTTCTTTAGAAAGGGAAGGCCAGTTACATCTTAAAATTTATAATTATTACAGAATTCTATCATTTTAAATTTAATATTTTTAGTTTGTATATATTAATTGTGTTTTTTCTAATATTCTAATATTAATATTTGTATTCCTGCCATTTGACAGAATTGTACTGCACTGATAAGTGCATAAAATACTTTCTGTGATCAACAGCCAGCTGTATTTAAAAATAATTTAAAAAATAATTTAAAATTTAAAAATAATTTTAAATTAACCAGTGAAATTTATTCCACAGATGCCTTTTACTTTGCAAGTAGTAGTATAAACCGGATTGTTAGTAAAACAGCTTGAAATACTGAACAGACCAGAAGTATGCATTCCTTCTGGCTGCTCGGACCAGGTAGCTCACCTGATTAGCAGGTGTGGACTGCAGACTGTTCTGCTGTCTAACAGGCCCTGGTGGCCATGGTTAGGACCATGAGCCATGAGCATTTATGTCCTTAAAACAGGTCTGGACATCTGGGGCCATCAATTCTCTGTACAACCACTTAGGGTCAGCCAGTTGCACTGCACTACACACAGCCATGAAGAGAAAGAGCTACCACTTCTAGGAGATCACACACAGCTCATACCAAACAACCTGTCAATCACAGGCAGAAGCAGCCAAGAGGAAAAACTGTGGCCAAGACTGGGTTGTTGCTCCCAAAGCAACTCATCAAGTCCCAGCACTTTCCTGCACTGCAGGCTTTTATAACAACTTCTTGTAATTGCATTTTTTGACTGGTGCTGCAACAAATCTAGTCAATGGAGGTAGAGAGTTCTGAAAACGCAGAGTTCAGGGAGAGAAAGAATTACATGGTTAAATATAAATACATACATTAATTCTTAATATTTTTGACCTTTTTCAGGGATTAATCCATAGCTGAGTCTGGGAAGAAACTTAGCTACGTATCATGTAAAATATATTTACAATCAGGGCTGAATAAATGGCATCATTGATTGGGAACTACTGAAAGGTTTAGGCAAATTGATTTCAGGTAAATCTGCTTTGCTTTGCTTTACATCTCAATGAATGAGAACCAAAGACTCAATTTAATTTCCACCTATCCCAGCTATGGCTAGAATGGGTGCTATGCCTGCACAGAGCTTGAAGAGATATAAAGGAAGAAAAGAACAGTGCACATTTTAATAATATTATTAAATAGTATTAATAATAATTAATTGTTATTTTATTATTAACAATTATATAATTGTCTAACACAATTAAACACAATTTAAAATCTCTGCAGCCATCCATCACCCACTGCACCACCTTTCCAGGACATGCAACAAGAGCAGGCTGTGTGTGAAAGGTCCAATGGAATCCCAGCACGAGAAGAACCGTGAACTTACGGAGAGGAGTATTTGGATAGCGCTGTGAATGACCTCTAGGTACTGGAAATCAATGATGCAGCCTGTCACGGAGACGTAGGAGTAATCCTCGAGGATGCCAGGGGAGGAAGGACGCACCACCCTTCGTATGCAGCCAGGCCCGTGCTCCCGCCACCAAGAGCGGTGCATTGAGATGTTAAAGGTCATGAGATCCGTTTCCTAGGAGAGGGAGGGGAAAAAGTGTGAACACATTTGACTTTCTGTTTTAAGGTAAAGAAAGGGGAAATAAAAGATATTTTCTATTATAAGGGCAATGAGGTAATTATCCTTAATTGTCACCCCAGTAATTCTAGCATGAAAATAGAATGTTAAAGTGGAGAGAGGAAATGGCAAATATTCATTGCTAATTTTGCAGTTGTGCACAGTCACTTCTGCCTGGCATAAGAACCATCCTACCAGGTACTGTACAAACACATGTTCCCTTGGACTTACCGCCGGAAATACAATTTTAATATTACTTTATTAGAATGTTAGAATGTCACTTAAGGACTCTTCTTTTTTTTTTCTTTTTCTTTTTTTTTTTAACAGACGATAGAACCAGTTTTACCCCATGGTACTGGAGACAACCTAAATGAAATTTACATAATCTTTGATGATTTCCATCACCACATTCAAATGAGATGTCTCCAGCCAAGCACCCTGCTCTCTTTTCTTCCCTCTGCTTCTCATCCAGATGATGAACTTCTCAGTTTAGAGAAAGGACCTAAATTTGTGAACTGATCTGGGTTTAAAATAAAAGCAGTAAGTTCTCTTCACTCAAATCATCTTCCAGATCAGATATTAAACATACCCAGATGATTACTGGTTGCACTCTAACCCACACAGGATGTATACTGTCTGTGCATTTTAGTAAACATCATACCACTTCCATATGGAGCAGTGAAAGTGGCAAACCTACCAATGTACTAAAGATTTTCTAAGAGCTTATCTATGAATTACAAGCAGGAAAATTCAATTGAATTAACAAAACATTTGGTTCTTCAGGAAACATATAAAAAATACATGTACAAAAAAAAAAAAAATACACTCAAGTTCAATGCCATTTAAACTCAAAAAAACCACCCAAGCCTCCTCACTGGAGATAAATGAGAGTTGAGTAATACTGATACTTTAAATAATTAATTCAGATTTATGTTCCCATGTTTCCCATTCTGAACTCCAAGTAAAAAATGTCTGCAAAATTGTCAGCCATATGCCCACAAAATACCCCTGCCTTTCATACATGACAGTTTGCGAGCACTGCTACAATACCAATTTGCCCTTTGCATCCCACAAATATGTTCTGTCTGTGGCCATTTACTTCTACCCTGACCAAAGGGAAATTCAGTCCAGATTCCAATCGCAGAAGCAGTTAATTTGTTATTTTCCTTTGGAAATTACCTTTATTCTGGCCACACCTGAAAATTAACACGGGAATTAAATCCTGTCACCCTAACTATATCCTAGTGATCAGTAAGAAATCTGCCTTTGTGATCTGCTGTTTTTTCTCTACCAGTTCTCTACCCTTTAAATACAGAGTTGCTAGATTTCCAAATGCATTATTTTGAGTTGATGAGGCATTTGTCTTTTGACTTTGCATGTCAATCCTTGCTACTGGTTTAGAAAATTTTCAGCTGCAACATGAAAACAGCTTGTGAAATAAGAAGCTGACAAACAACTCAGTTTAATGAAAATATAATCATAAATACAGAGTCACAGGAAACAGCCAGGGCTTTCTTTGTACAACAATGCCAGAGATTGCACAGTGTTATCAAGTGCTTTTAAAGATTGTCAACTCAAAGAAATGCCAGTTGTCAAGCAGCACACACATATTCAATCTAACCTAGCTCAGAAGCCCTTTGCTGAGAAGGAATATGGATTGGTGGTTTAGTGTGTATCACATATTGTGAGGTAACTCTTTGTTATCACAACTGAGGGAATAAGTTGTGGCATCCATGGTGTTGGTGTCACAGCTTCCTTTGCTCTTGAAGGTTTATTTATCCTTTTTTGTTTTTTGTCTTTATGTTTTAAAAATTATAGTCTGTTACAGTATTCATACTTGGCTAGTTTGCAGCCAATGACAAACAACCAGTTTGTCAAACAGCTTGATAAATTTTGCCAACACATGTAAAATGTAAGATTTTGCATATGAACAGTAGAAACCCTTCATAAATAAAATCTTTCATTTCTGGAATACTGTTATGTGTGCCTCTTGGGGTGATTTAAAAAAATGCTTACTTGATGGTCATGTTCATGTTTTGAGGCTGCTGGTGATTCAGGTAAAAAAAGAAAGCAAAAAAACAAAACAAAAAAAACCCCCAAACAAACAAACAAAAAACCAACCAAAAAGTCATTACATCATTTTCTACCTTTTTAAAAATAAATTCTCATTCAGAAATTCTGGATAAAGTCTAAAAGAGGAGATTTTCATAATTACTTTTCACTTTGTGTATTACATCCTGAGCGCTCAAAGCAGGTAAAAACAGATAATGATGGCCCAGCAAGGATCAGTTTTAGAAAAGCAAACAAAACCACTTGGTGCATTAGCTTGACCTCTGAAATATCGCTTCACAAAATGGCAACCATAAGCCATTCAAGCTGATAAATGTTAAGCTGCCAATCAATAAAAGAAAGCCTGACAACAGAAAAATCAATTTTTACTTTTTTTTTTTATCAGCTGAAACACTTCTCCCTAACTACTTGGAGATTCTTAATCTGTAAAGTGAGTGAAATGCAACAAGCATTGAAAAAATTAACCTGTATCTTTAAAGTAATTTACAGAACCATAGAAAATTCAAAGACTCTTTTCTGGGATGTACAGGTTTTAAATATCAGTGAACTGAGAGTGTTTTGGTATTTGTAAATTCACAGCTTGGAAAGTCTGAGCATGCTGGAAAAGCTGCTGCCCAAGTGGCTTATTTTCAGTTCTACATTAAATGAAAGTTAAGAATTTTAGAAAGTACAAGCAGATGCCTAAAGTTTTTCAATAGATCATTTACTATCTTCTAATTTTTCATATTAAAAAAATTGTATAAAGTGTTTAATCATCAGCGACAATTCAAATGCTTATTTCTTAGGAAAAAATTCTGCTGCTTCAAAGCAAGGCTTTAATTTCAGGCTCTGAGAAACCAAGAGAAACCAAATTGTCCTTCTACTAATCCAGCTGGGATTCATTTAACAGTTCAAATTTCTATCATGGATTTAAAATTGCTCTCCTCTGAACATACATCTTGACTTTAATACCATTCATCAGCAGATAAATTATACTTCCTCAGCTGATAACCACTCAGATAGACACCATGAACAGAGAGGGGGCAGAACACAGGCAACAGGTCCTTCAGGAAAATTGTGAGACTTAGAGAAGTGACACAGGGAAGTGAAACCTACTCTCCTACTCCTCCCTTCTTTAGTCAGCATTAAAGCAATACTACAATCTGTCGTAAGAAGTTTGCTCCTGAGTATAGGATCAGCCCCATAATCACACTTTACTGATGTAGAGACCCACTTAACTGTCCACAGCATTTTAAGCCTTTAAACTATATATAGGATTTGTGTTGGCTGTCAGCCCAAGGATTAATTTTGCTTATTATTATTGGAAATCATTGCTATGGCAGATACATTCTTTTAAGGTGAGATGTAATCCCTATGAGTCTCAGTAATGCTGTTTCCAAGTGCTTGGGGATAATGTTTAATTTTATTATGTCTGCTTAAATTCTACATTTGGTTTCAAGTGGAAATTTTCTGTTGGGCAGGGCTTTGAGCAACCTGATCTAGTGAAAGATGTCCCTGCCCATAGCAGGGAGGTCAGTCTAGAATGATCTTTGAAGATGCCTTCTGATCCAAAGAATTCAGTGATTTTTTTGATTCAATTTTTAGGTGGTGAATCTAGGTAAAATTTAACAAATCATAGCGTAAGATGGTTTATTTTAAAACTAAAGAGAAATAAAAGGCATGATGTGCCTTTCATTTATTTGTGTAAAATTTACACACAGTATCTATAAAAACAAAAAAAAAAAATTAATGCGAAATTAGGACTACTTAAAATCACTAGTTTTCAAAAAGAAGGCACTGAAACTCTGTGCAGAAAACCCAATGCACCCAGATTGCCTTGCATAACAAGCAAATATTATGCTGTGACATGACTACCACCACAGCTATTTGTTTTTTCAGTGTATGCTTCTGCTTTATGACATGTTATTTTCTATTTCTTTCATTCCTTGCTGGTATTTCAAAATACACTCTTAGGAAAAGTATAACAAAAACAGTGCTTTGGGCAGTATGGATGAAAACCCCTTTTTTCTTCAGAAAACAGCAGTCAACACTTGAAATTTTATAGACAAGTGAAAGACCACAAAGACCTGGCAAAACCTGGTGTTAGAGGTCTTGACTTTATTGTTGCTTGTGTGGTACCTAGCCTTTCCTAACACTTTTTATTTTATTGATACACATTACGTTGCTTATTATGAATGGACATTAGGCTGAGGCATTAAATATTCCCATTCCACTTCCTAAGTGTAACAAGTTTGCTCTGTTCTGACTTCCTACACATATTTTGTTTAAGCAGTGAGGAGAAAAGATTTTCAATCAAACACCTGCTCAACAGGTAATAAAAGTTTATATGCATGATGCTAGAAAAGGAATAGCACATTTCCTTGTAATTCCCTACACTCAATTATGTTTGTAATTAAGATGCACAGGTGTTGCAGGGACAAGGGACACACAAATTCCTCAGTATCTAATCTCAAGGACACCTTAATCCTCATTAGATACAGATGATGTGTCCCAGCATTAATGAAATCCACTCTAATTGTGGAAGTACTTGGAAACATGACCATCAGCTATCAGCCAAAGACTTCCACTGGCAGCATCACCTTACTTTTCCACTCTGCTTTTACTTGAAACAACAGGTTCCAGTTTGCTCTGTGTGTGACCAGTTACATTCCATCTCCTCTCACTACTGCTGAACAAACATTTTTGATGGCCTGGGCAGACAATATTGAAGAAGACTGAGGCTATTTCCCATTTCCAGATGGGAAATTTTGCATCACTAGCTCCCACATTGTCTTTATTGGGATGACAATTTTTGAATATTGACTTATTTTGTTTCCTGCTGGTTTTTAATTTAAACTCTTGCCTCAATGTTACACTGATGGCTTTTACCTATTCAATAAGCTAGAGGT